AAAAAAATACCTAACGTAAAAAAAAGAAAAAACAAAAAACAAAACACGACGTTTGTTTTATATATTTGCATGAATTTTGTTATTTTAGTATTCACAGGCATATTGCAAAAATAATAGTTATTTGGATCAAATAATTGATTTTTACTTAAATTTTGAATTTTCTGAAAAAAAAATTATAGGCAATTTTATTTTTTCTTTATTCAAAATGCTATTAAATATTGTCACTTTTCTAGATTTTTGTAATACGCTTTTTCTTTGGTGGACCGCAACTATCGTTTCAGCATTTATTACTTGACATGTTATATTTACATATCCTTCTCAAACCCACGACAAGCTGCAACCTTCTTTTAACTCGTTTACTTCAACCTTCTAGAAATCGCGCCAATCTTCCTTCCTATTCCGCTGTGTTTCTACCGTTTTCCGGCAAATACACCGGTGATTTTGCTAGCAATCCTTTACAATCCAGGTAGAGCACACAACTCTTTCGTTCCTAGTTTTTTCTTTTTGTAAAAGAATTTCAGATAATGTCATGGAGTTCCAGTTTTTGTGCCTGAAATACGACTTGATTCGTTTGAGATTTTCTTCTTATACATGCAGTAATCTGTAATTGGGTTCAATGTCGACGTCACCGGTAGAAAAAACTTGTGAATTGACAGAAGGAGAGTCGCTGAGAACTATTCCGACGCCTTTTTTGACTAAGACATACCAACTTGTTGACGATTCATCATCAAACGAAATGATTTCATGGAACGAACATGGAAACGCGTTCGTCGTTTGGCGACCAGCTGAATTTGCTAGAGACCTGCTTCCCAAATACTTCAAACACAACAATTTCTCAAGCTTCATTCGACAGCTAAACACATATGTAACATTTATCGACAAAAAATCGAATTAGATTCACCGGTTATGAGCTCCGCTTACTGATTTTTGCGTTTGAATGTAGGGATTTAGGAAAATCGTATCGGATCGATGGGAGTTCGCGAATGATTATTTCCGTAGAGGTGAGAAATTACTCCTCCGAGAGATACACCGTCGGAAAATCTCAATCACTCCGACGTCTACGCCTGCCTCAGCGGTAACAACATCAATCCCCTTGGCAGCTATGCCGATATCGACATACTCTCCGGCAAATTCAAGTGAAGAACTTGCCGGATCATCGAATTCATCACCGACGATGATCCATATCCAGACTTGTACCACTAACCCGGAACAGCTCCTAGAAGAAAATGAACGATTGAAGGAACAGAATTCCAAGTTGAGATGTGAACTCGATCATATACGAAGTTTGTATAGGAATGTCTGTACATTGATGTCTAATTTCCTACCGAGTCAACCGGAGAAGGAGAACGGTGGATCAGAAGAGAAAGCGGTTGGAGGCGGTGGTGGCGGTGCATATGTGGAAGAAGAGATGTCTCCGTGTCCACGGTTGTTTGGTGTCCCAATAGGCGTAAAACGTGTGAGGAGGTCCGAGGAAAACGCCATTAGAGATGAAATGCTAGAATAGCAATTAGCAACAATTTAATGTAAAATACAAGTTGTACCTTATTGTACTGACTTTTTAGGTTGATGTACAAGCATCAAACCACAAATCAAAAAGGAAAAAAAAAAAAAAAAAAAAAAAATTCTAATATCAACAAGGCTACATGTAACCTACACAAACAAGTAAAAGACCAATAATGGAAGACGGTCTTTGCTAGATCCACCTTCAGAGTTCATAATCATGGATGACTGTGTCAAACGCAATAAAATTAGTCTCCATGTATAAATTTGGTATCAGTCCATTCTTCGCTCACCATTTGATAGAGAGGGATATGGAGTCAAGCCTCTATTTTGTATTTGTTTGAATCATTGTTTCAACTGTTTGTTTTCAACACTTGTGTAACATCTTTGTTGGCTGTTCTTCTTAAAAGTTTCTAAATATATTAATGCTTCTTGGCCTTTATAAGATATACATGTTATTTGTTTGTTGTGTTTGTGTTTGTTACACTGAACATGTCAAGATGTGACTTTAATGCATAAAGTATTTTATTTTGGGCTATTTTTATGACAATAATGATAAGAGCATCTATGTTTCTTGCACATACACCAAATCAAGAATAAGTCTTTTGTCCAATCTTCTTTATTCCTAGATTGTAATTTTTATTCGATTAACATTGGTCTTAATTTCAGTCTAAGACATTATTAAATACATGTTCAAATCTTGTCTCTGTTCAACCCTATGATCATTGACGTTTGTCTTAAGTGACTCCAGAACATAACACATAGTGTCATGTTGGCAACAAAGATTAATATGTGCACGAAAACTGATCCGATAACACTCCCTTAAAATTTATTATTATCTTTAGTTTTGTTTTTTTATAATAACAAAAGATATTATATTAAGTTTGGGAGCCCAAGGCAACAATTCATAATGGGGCATCAGTCTTTCAATCTCTCTCGGTTAGATGTTTTTTTAGGTGGACGTTTTGGTGCTATATTTGGGAAAATAGTTTCTATACTGTGCTGCTGCCCAATAGTTTTTGCAATGGGGTTTTAGACTTTAGTTTTAGCCTCCAATCAATTAATATCCATACTCATCAATTTGGTTTCACTGATTGGAGGTACCTCGGATGTAAATTGGTCTTCATAATAAACCATTACAAATGTTTTAAGTTGCCAGAAACATTTGGGTCTGTATTATTATGGATGAAAAACATAAAAACATAGGTCCTGGTTCGGATGTTGTTAATGTCAAGATTCAAAGGTGGATGCATTCAAATGTGGTCGAAAGCCAGTATAGTTAGCTCGAAGAGTTTTATTTCTGTCTTGAAAGTTTAGCTACTATTGTGTTTTTCTAAAGTTTGTTGCCACAAGTTGTACTGTTAAAAGTAAGTATCCTTAAAGTTTGTAGTTAAAAATGATTTTATTCATAGTGAATTCTTCATCAGGCTTGTGTTAGAAATATGGTTTAGTGACATTTGGAAATCTGAGAATCGTGATAAAACACTTTCAAATCGAAGTATTTTGGTGGTACTCCCAAATCCTCAATTGGATAAGACTCAGAGAAAATCAGAGAGAAAGAAAGAGAATGAGATGGTGTAATTTCGTGAGTACCAGAAAACTGACTAAAAATTGGTTATAAACCTTCATTGTCTGAAAAACTGTCAAAATTGTCATATAACAGTTTTTCTCAACAGTCAAAACTGCTATAAATCTGGGTTTTGTATAAGGATTAATGCTAAGTAAAAAACGGGTAAAATATTCAAAATTTGGATTTTCTGATGCATTTTTAATACAGATTGAATACTTTGATACTTGATCAAACTTAAACAAGTGTGTACTCCGCACCTTCCTTACTTGTTTAATATTTATCAAGATCATTTTTAGTCAACAAAGTAATCCCATTACACTTAAATAACATTGATGATAACAAATTACCAACAGCTTGCTTCTCAGTTTCCATGTTGTTCTTAAGAATTGTTATCAATTTCATTTTAAAGTTTGTTGTTATAATTGGTTCATCACTTTACCATAAAATTAATTGGAAACTTCACATTTAATTACTCAATAATAGATTTGCCCAACATCTTTTTACTGCAAACTTGTGGATTTACAGAAATATTTATAAATTTTATGTTGTTTGGTAGGACAATTTAAGGGGCTGTTTGATACTGTGCTGATTGGGTCCGGTCAGTATTTTTTGGCTGACTCGGTCCAATCAGCATGTTTGATAGATGGTAATTTTTTCTGACCCGGTCATAAATTGCTTACCCACCTCCTGACTCGGTCTGATAAAAAAAAGAAGCTGACCCATTATGTGATGTTTTAATGACTTTTCTGCCCTAAATAAAAGAACACGCATCTGGTTCTCCTCTCAAACGGCTCCTCCTTCCTTCCACTGTTCCACACAACGACTTCAAGCAATTCCTCCTACCGGCCAAGTTCATCGCCGTCGCCTCAGCAGACCTCCGCCTACCCATCGGTAAGATCGGAAATCGATTTTCTATAATTGACATTGAAATCAATTTTATGAAATTTGTGAAAATCGGATGATGCTTTTGGTGAAGATTGGATGTTTGCATCAGATTGGAGTATTTCAAATTTGAGTTTTCTCCGCCTCGTTTTCATATTCTTCCTTGAGCTATATCATACCAGAGATCTCCCAAAACTACTTTAAAGGCCCTTCAACAAAGGCACTGTATGGGGGTATATCACTGCTGGGATGGATTTTGTGTTACATATGATGCCAAATTGTTTCTCAAAACATGCTAGAAAACTCAAATCTGGTTGAAGAAGATTAGAAATGGAGTGATCTAGTGAAGGGTAATAGTTGTTTTTTGACCACCGAAACTTGGAAGAGTTTAAAGTAAAATAGGAATCCAATGTGGTAAAGGTCCTTTTCGATTACGTGATCAATAGTTATTGTCATCATCTAGTTTAGGTACCAACATATCAGATTAAAAAATATGATATGAAATAGAGTATATTTATACACAGGGAAAACAAAGAATCAATGTCCATTTGATTTTATCAAAGTTGAAATAGATGGTGCATGTAATAATATTATAAATATTACGTTTTCTTTTCATTGAAAGTTGAAATAGATTGTGCATGTATAACCTTTATTGTACTCAAACTTATAGATTTTATAAAGCACAAAACAAAACAGAAGGGCAAAATGGTAATTTTAACATTTAAAACGGTCAGTCAAATATGTAATCAAACAATATTGTTTCAGTCAGAAGTCATTACAGTCAGAACTTGTGACTCGGTTAGGCTCTGACTCAGTTAGATCTTACGCAGTCATCAGTAACTATCGAACAGCCCCTAAGTTTATTTGGGGCCAAAGTATATTAATTTTTTCCATTTTCGCCATGGGTTAGGTCGATGTGAAGCCCAATCATATGATTAAAACAGCCCATCAACGGTTACGGAGAAACTGAGAAATGAGCGATCTGTCTTTGAAAACATATTGAATACAGACTTTGACGAACTAGGGTTTTTGTGTTTTTGATTCCACAATGAAGAAGAAGAAAGTCAAAGATTCATCCCGATTATCGAAGGAAAGTGATTTGGAATCGTCGGATTTCAACACGGCAGTCATGAGAATCGCCGTCGCACAGATGTGTCACTCCGTCGGGTATCAAGGCGTTCAAATCTCAGCACTCAAAACCCTAACGGACGTTGCCATCAGGTACCTTCGATCACTTGCGAAGTACTCTACTACCTCCGCTAATTCCACCGGCCGAACACAGTGTAACCTTTTCGACATCGTCCGTGCATTGGAAGAGCTTCATTCCGATATTGGATTCCATGGAAACGCAGAGCCTAATAGAAGATTAAATATACTCACCGATTCATCGATCCTCCGCGACACGATGAATTTTGTCTATAGGAGTCGCGAAATTCCATTTGCAAAACCCTTGCCTCGCCGTAGTCCTACACTTCCATCCAATCCACCATGTTTTTCCAATCAGAATACAAAATGGAATCACGTTCCGAGTTGGTTACCGGATTTCCCTAAAAGCAGTGACGCTGGAGAAAAACCGATCTTTACTGCATCAAATGAAAGTGAAACCGCATGGGAGAAGAAGATGCGATCGACCGAATCAAATAAGCAAATCAGCAAGTTACCAGAGAATAGGAAAAAGATAAGTTTTAAGATTGGTGGTGGTAAGAATGAAATTGAGATGACGTATGGGGTTGATTTGAAGAGTGGGGTTTGTAAAGGTGGAAAGAGAATTTCGTGCCAAATCTATGATGATGACAGGTTTTCAGATGCTAGCAGCAGTCGCAAGAAGAAATTAGAAGAATCTTCTTCAAGAACAAAGATGATTGCGAGGCATTCATGTTGAATTACAATTGCCGAAATTCTCAAGAGGGATTCTTAGAAAGTATAGTCACTTGGGGGGATAAATTTGCTTGGTTATTTGATCTGTGCCGATTTTGTTTGTAAGTATTTAATATATAGTGTAAATGGGATGTAAGCTTCATATAATTGATATGGATCGTTGGTCGTTAAGATGTCTGAGATTTATATCTTTCAAGAAGGTCTCGCGTTCAAGTCTGCTTGCATACATGTTATTTCTAAAATTTAATACACTAAGGTTATAAATTATTAGCTTCCAAGATTTTAATGCTTAATTTTTATATTATTATTGATTATTGAAATATCTATTCCTTAAAAGGACCATAGTTTATGTTTTTTTTAAATACCATCAAATTAAAAAAAAAAAAAAAAAAAAAAAAAATCAAAAAAACTACATTTCAAATTAGCATTTTCTGATACTTCAACCTTATCTTTATTCAATGAGATATTGACTAAAAGGACAAGTGTTAAATACTTCAACCTTATCTTCATTCAGAAATTTGTGTCTGCTAATTTGCAAAGTGCATTAAAAAGCTAGACTTTAGCGTATTGCTTGTTGCAGTTTTACCGTTAGCTTGTTATTCCTACTTTTTTTGGTTATTGGCATACTACAACTTAGATAAGGTAAATTTTATATTTAAAAAAAAAAAAATTATTTATATCCATAGTAATTTTTCATTCTTCTGGTATCCATTTATAATTATAATTAAACACATTTTCATAATAATTCCTCTTATTATTAATACTATGGACGACGTGAGTGGAAAATCGTCGTCCATAATCGTAGCCCTTAAAACTCAAGAAATTTTTAATCTGAGCCGCATAAACTCAAAATTTGCGGTTGTGTGCAGTTCATCAATTGGCTCCTCCTTCTTCTACCCACGATTGCGGTTATGTGCAGTTCATCAATTGGCTCCCACAACCGACTACCGGCAGTTTCTTATCCACCTGCGTCGCCTCCTTCTTCTCCCCACGTTCGCATCCATTCCTACAACTTCCCACCATGGAGCGGTTGAATCCCATCATCTTGAACTCCTTTTTACATATAAATAGAGCTCAATGAGAATATTAGAGCAGATATCTATGCTTCCATCGAGATCTAGGTATCGTTTCTCTGTCCCTCAATAGTTCCCCTGAGGTAAATTGATCGGATTGTGTTTAATTTTTCAATGTTTTAATGAGTTTCTTCAATTGCTTCCGTTTTTCCATCCTCTGAACATTTATCGATTCCATTTGAATTTCTTCTTACTTGAATCCTTTCAATGCTCACGTGATTAACGATGGACCATAAATCGATCAAACAATTGGATGCCGACAAAGAACACCCACCCCAAGTAACTCTCTCTCTCTCTCTCTCTCTCTCTCTCTCTCTCGTACTGTTTGTTAGTCTTTTAATGTTATATGTGTTTGGGGGGTTTTGATGCTTTAGCCGACGTTTTCAAGTCGGGTATTTGTATTTCTTGAGATTTAAAAAGTTCAATTTCATATGAATCTGTTGAATTGATCCATGTTCAATTTTTTTTCCGATTCTTGGATTGGGTTATAAAACTAAAATTTCAATTTAAACTTGCAAAACATAAAAAACATTAGGTTTTTGTCTCCAAATAAAAGTTGAGTATGATAAAGTTTAAATATTTTGTTTACTGTTGCAGCATTAGGGGAACTGATTGATACAACGAGATAAATTATTGAAACCATCTAGGTCATAATCACTACTTGATATGGTCAGTCTTATATTTGCATTTTCCGCTGTGATTTACCTTATTTACTTTGGACGTGAGAGTTGAGACTAATTGGCAACTTAATCCTTTGTTTTTTTTGTTTTATTATATTTTTTTTCTATCCAGATGCACCTTGATAGTTTGAAGCATCTAAAATGACTTGATAATGAAGAGGTAAGTATAATTTTTTTAATAACTCAATGTTGATTTAATTTTCCAGAAAATTTACTCCATATAATCTACTTTATGGTCCTGTTTTTGCTCATAGATATTGAAAAATGGAGTGCGTGACTACTCATTAATCTATTACTTGATTATAACATACTATAGTTTTTAATGTTCTTTTCTTGTGAATCTGTAGACTTTTAAAGCATGCTTACACCTTTTACTTTTGGTGTTTGCTTTCATTGATGGAAGATTTGATGGGCGCTCTATACATTCTCAGGTTTTGCACATTCTTTTGACCTTATGAGCATTGGCGAATTGTTACACGAAATAAGATCAAAATGGGCTTGGTTGGATGATTCGTTGGCGGATGTTGTTTGTTTATTGGAGTTTTTGACATATTTGCCCTTAGGAGCTTTGGCGGAATGCAAGGGCGGAGCTTCAACATTTTATTTGGGGGGACCGGAAATATAATATGTATAAAAATCGGTGAACAGGGAGGCCACAGCCAAAATTTTATATTTTTTGACTTAATATGTATAAAATTAATGTATAGGGGCTACTTCTAACCAAAAAATCAAGGGGGGCCACAGCCCCCCCTCGCCCTAATAAAACTCCGCCCCTGACGGAATGATGACACAGCTGAAGGGTGTATGTTTTTTCCATGGTTGCAGAAATCGCTAATCGGTCGTTAATCGGTGGACTAGCGATTAGAGATTAATCGGGAGATTAATCGGTGACCATTAATTGTTAAGAAAATTATTAAAAAATTTATAAATCTAATTTTAATCCTACAAAAAAAGCGATTAATCGGCGATTAGGTCCGACTTTGACATGCATTGACCAAACCCGATTAGGTCCAATTAATTCCGACTTTGACCTGTATTGACCAAACCCGATTATAGTGACCGATTAGCAATAAATCTCATCGATGGAGGTCCGATTAGCGATTAATCGGCCGATTAGGCCGATTTCTGCAACACTGGTTTTTTCCCTCATAAACATGGTTGTTTTATTATTATTATTATTATTGATAATTCACAAGCAGCAAAGATTCTACCCTCATTATAGGTGTTGTGGTTTTTGCTTATTTAGTTTTGTTTTCGTTTATTTGTATCTATTTTAAAACTCTGTTTTTGGGCTCCAACTTCCAGCTGATCCCTGTTTCTCTTTTATTTAAGAGACACGCTGCCCCAACTTGTCATGTAGAACATAGTCATCACGCGTGGGTTTTAACTCCTACTCGACGAGTCAGTGGACCCCGACTCGACGAGTAGGGGTTGTGCATGGAAACCCTAATTTTTAGGGTTTGCGCCCTATTTAAAGGACCTTAAGTCCTTACCTCCAGTCCCTTATCACCCCCTTGACGGCCAGAAGAAACTCTAATCGCTATTAACCTTGTTATTGAGTGATTGTGAGGCTTAAAGAGTGATTTTGGTGCATTTTGTGAAGAAGGTGTGAAGTATAAGAAGCTTGGAGCAAAGAGGAGCTTGTGGATCTGACTCTACTTCATCTTGGCATCATTTTGAAGGTATCAAGTCGTTACCTTGGCTTATCTTTAATTAGATCTCTTCATGCCTAAGTTTAGTGCCATCTTTAGGATATTTGGGAGTCATTTCGGGTATTGGGGTAAGATCTGAAGTTGTAACTTCAGATTTGGACTCCCATTGGTCCCTATAGCCATTAAGTTATGAGATTTGGCAAGCTTGGGCCTTTCCCTTTGAGTTAACCTCTCCCTTAGTCTAGTTTTGGCATTTAGGACCATGCATGTACGTAAAGTTTGCAACTTTATGTGGAAACCATGCCCTAGGGGGTTGGATCTGCAATATTGAACTTTGGGGTGGCTTAAAAACATCTGTATAAGAAATGGACTGCATGAACTCGACGAGTCGCTTAGCTGACTCGGCGAGTCAGATGAAGGTTGTCCGTGTTTGTTTCTGCATGAACTCGGCGAGTCAGTAAGAGGACTCGATGAGCCAGTAGGGCTTTCCCCGACATCTGGACACGCATGGACTCGACGAGTTGGTTGGAAACTCGGCGAGTCAGTGAGGGTTTTATGACTTTCTGAGTTCTTAAGGAACTCGACGAGTTGCTAGCTGCACTCGACGAGTTGGGTTAACATGGACTGTTGACTTTGACGTTGACCAAGAGTTGATCAGTTTGACTTCTGGGGGTATTTTGGTAATTTGGGAATTTATGGAAGTGGATCATCGGTGGATGTAAGTGTTGGACTTGGAGCTGCATTTGGTAAAGTTTGACTTTATCACTTCGAGCTACTTGTGAGGTGAGTTCTCCTTACTATATCAACGGGGTCTAAGGCACCAATGCCGGCCCTTTTTTGGATTTGTATCCGGGTTATTGCATGATATGCTTATTGATTTACATCCTGGTAGTTAGGATGGTGATATGCTTAGTGACCTGGTTAGGTCGGTATCCTGGTATATAGGATGATGTTATGTTGGTGGCCGGTTAGGTCTGTATCCTGGTTATAGGATGTTGCTATGATTGGTGATCTGTTAGATCGGTTTGACTGTTATATATGCTAGCGTATGATATTTATGTGCACATGTTTGTTTGATTGGGGGTTGGGTTGAGGCGGTCCAGCTTTGTGCTGAAGGCCAACATACCCAGGGCGGTCCGAATAGACTAAAGGCCCGGGAGGGCATACTAGTCAGGCCGAAGGCCCGACGAGCGGTCCGGATAGGCTGTAGGCCCTGCAAGGCGGTCCAGACGTGTCGAAGGCTCGGAGAGCGGTCCAGATAGGCTGAAGGCCTGTGAGGCGGTCCAGTCAGGCTGAAGGCTCATTATGCATGTTGTTTGCTTATATGTTATTGTTATGTTTTATGGCGTTGGTACGTATTTTGGGGGTAACTCACTAAGCCTTCGAGCTTACATTTATTGATTATTGTTTCAGGTACTTCTGATGATCGCGGGAAGGCGAAGGCGTGATCGTGCACCTCCTTATGATTTTATGATTTGATTCTAGGATACTCTGACACTAAACCATTTTGAAAACAAGTTTTGTAATAATTATTGGTTTTGAAATATTTTAAAAAGTTCAAATTTGGCATGATTTTAGGGATGTTACAAGTTGGTATCAGAGCATTGGTTTGAGTGAATTGGAGGAAACACTCGCGTGTCTCCAGTCTCAAACTGAGTACAAGATTTTAAAACGATTTTCTTAAAATGTTTTCAAAATAATAAAGGAGGATGCAAGTGTACGATCAGTCGGAGCTCGCGGATAGACCCCAAAATACCTTACGGATTATTTGATTTATGTGATATGTTAGAACATCATGCTAGTACTAGGCTAGGGATCTTCAGGAATTGTATGATAGAATTGTCTGATTATATGATGTCTGATAGCCTAGGATTTTTCCATATATGAAATTGACATCATTACTGTAGTTGCTTAATGTATGCATCACGGCCATACATAATTGAGATCTTATAACCTGAGAATGTTTGGTTTGGCCTTATTTCTTGTTCTTGTTTGATGAAGGGATTAGGGTAGGATCAGGTATTCGAAAGTCTATAGGGTCCAACATTATGTATGTGTAACGCCCAGACTCTGGTACAACTTTATTTACAAATTATTCTTGTTTGAAAGGCTACTCAACGAGTTGGAAGCCCCAGACTCGTCGAGTAGAAGTTAGTCTTAGACGCGGGATTCAGCCACCTACTCGACGATTCAAGAGCTCTGGACTCGGCGAGTAGGCCTGGCAGAATGAAACCCTAATTTCGGGGTTTTGCACCCTATTTAAGTATCTTAATCCCCACCCCTTGACGTCATTTACAGCCTCCTTGTCCCAAACCCTAATCCACGAAACCCTAGAGCTTTCCTTGAGTGTGTGAGACATTTTGAGTGATCTTTGTGCACTTTTGAAGCTTGTGGAAGAAGAAGAAGATAGAAGGCTCAAGAGGGAAGGAGTAGATCCATAAGCTACACTCCATTTGCTACATTTTCTGGTAATCAAGTCTCTAACTTGATCATTCTTTTCTTAGATCTATTTACTTCCATTTTATGAGGGTTTTGGTTCAAGAACCTTGGTCTTTGGGATTTGGACGTCCCAAGTGACTTATATTTCAGATTTGGGATCTAGAAAGGGTTCCATGGCATAAATGTGAAAACTTTATGACCATAGAAGCCCCATGCAAGGTTATAAGCATTAATATGGCCTTTTTAGCCCTAAGAGGCCGTGCATGGAAGGAAAGCTAGGAACTTTACGTGTCCAACTGATGTTCAGAACCTAGATCTAGTATAGTGTGTCTTGGTTTAGGGTGGTATGGCTTGTGGACCAAGATCTATGTTCTAGAGAAGTTAGGGTTTGAGTTAAACCCGTTAATAAGGACTAAGAGCGGGTAAAGTTGGAAACTTTACCCATAAAAGTGTAATCCCAGTGGGTAGATGAAGTTTGGAGCTTGGATATGAAGGGTAGGAGTTTAATCCATTGAGATGGCTCAATCAAACAGGGGAACTCGGCGAATCCATAGAGGGACTCGACGAGTTGATTCGGTATGTCCCGTTTTAGATTAAGGCAAAACCCGACGAGTCGGTGAAGGGACTCGGCGAGTTAAACCGGTAGATCGCGACTATGAGTAGCGTGGAAACTCGACGAGTCAGGAGGAGACTCGACGAGTTAGATCGCGATTTCAGGATCTAAGACTCGGAGAGTTGAACTTATAATCCTTTTTCCCATTGTATACCATCACTTGCAACTCAAAATTGGATAAAGTTAGAACATAACCTGAAATGAACCAAAACCCTAAAAATCGATTTCAACCCAAAAGAAGACTGAGATCGACGGAGATTGGTGATGGGGGCAAGTTCCATGTGGCGACGAAGATTGTTGATGGGGACAGAGAGAAACAGGAGGTTCAACTGCAATGAGGGAGTCAGAGGTGGCGGTGGCACTGAAGCTATTGGTGGTAAGGGAGATGATGTGTCGACAGAGCAAACAGATTTGCCGACAGTCTTGATGGTCTTTCTTGGAGTTTCTGACATAGTCAAACATATGGGTTAGGATGAAGATCAACTCAGTTGCTCATTTGGACTTCTTTAAATTCAATAAATTTACTATAATGGTCCTTGAAATTTAGAAAATGACAAAAGAAATAGAAAATTAAAAAATATGGTAGAATGGTTAGTTCTACCTAAAGATTGATGATATTTAGGATGATAGGTTTACCAATCATATATTACCAACCAAAATTAGGACTAAGCCTATACAAAGATATATAGCACAGGGACCTAAACTATTAACTTACTTTTATAAGAGTATTTAATAATTATACATAATAAATGAAGTGTTTATTAAACGTTAAGATGGTAACTTTGACAAACATTTAAAATACTTGAGTACTTATTTGTTTACTTAATTTATCCATTCCATTTATCAATAGTTTTTCAAGGAGGAAGTTTCCAAAAACTTGCAGTTGCACCCCCCTCATTGAAATTGTCCATGCGTTTACATTTCAAATCGTCATCCACTGAGGAAACTGCTTCCTTACTCTCCCAGCAACTCCCTAGAACCACCACGCCGATCACCGTCACCTCCCATATATTTTCCATCTCCGACCAACAATTTCGTCAATGGAGATGACAGTGATCTCAGCTCAAGGTCTCAAGAAAACATCGAGCTTATCATCTCTTTTCTCTCATCACCTACGGCCTTTCATCACCCTCACCACCACCCATCCCTCCTCCTCACGCGGCGTAAACCAGAGTCATGTGTACACAACGACGGTGGACCATGAAGGAGGGGTGAATCCCACTTGGGGCGATAAGTTTGATCTTTCTAATGTTATTGATTCTAGTTTTTTCTCTCATAAGTACTCATGTATATACCTACAATTATACACAAACCGTCTCTTACTGGGTCCTAGGTTTTTGGGATGGTGTGGGATTCCGGCGTCGGATATTGCCGATGGGTTTTCTCCGGCGGGAACTGCGAGGCAATTGAGTTACAGGTTAAGAAAAAAGGACGGTTCGAGGGGTCATGGTGTTGTTAATGTGGTTGTGAAGTTGGATAGTTCGCTTTTTCAGGCACGGAGGAGAGTAGATTCTGTTGTGCAACGGTTGCCAGAGGTGAGGTTTGACCGGGTGGCGATTGGAATTCCGGTGAAAATGTTGCCTGCGGTTAGTCATCAGGGGAGTTCAGTAGTGTAATTATTAGTGGCCATATGTTTTGTTTAAAGGTCATGATTTATGCATTAATTCTTAAATGAAAGTGTTTGGCTTATTTAGAAGGACATGGTTGTTGATGATAAAAAAAAAATAAAAAATTGCGTTTAAATTGTTTATTCAAGATTTGAAGTATTGTTTAATTAATTATTAAAGATACATTCATAAAATATGATAAAATATTCAACTAAGTGTATATATCGTCTGATAGATATTTATAAATTAATGTACTGTTTAGTGTTTAATTATTTTGCTTTTGTAAAATTAACACGCTTTTCAAAAGGATGAGCTGGTGGCTACAACAATGTCTTTGATTCGTTTTAGGTCATTTCGAAATAAAGAGCAGAGTGTTTTAAATGACTATAATTGTTCTTTTTCTCATGTTTGATTTGATCAACTTTGGATCTGATTCTCTCTTTAATACTGGTTATCTATACAAAATTAACATCTATTTATCTTTAATTATTATTTTGCAGGATTTCATGAGCTAAATCATATATGTGAGTATTTATAAGCAAAAAACTATAAACAAATCTCTCAATCTTGCATGGTTATTTTAGATGATTAGCGTGGAATATATTTTTGTTGAAAAGTCTTAAATAAAAAAATGCGGCTGAAAGCCATGTTTTTTAAAAATCAGAGACAAAATTGCAAAAATGGTCTCTGTAGTAAGATAAAAGAGACAAAATTGCAAAGATAAAAGAGACAAAATTGCAAAAATGGTCTCTGTGGTTTGCTAATTTTTTTGGATAAAGTCTAAACAAAAGTTTATTAGCAAAAAAGGTCCTTATTTGATGGTTTAGTTGTGGTTTTGGTCCCTATTTCCTTAACTTTAACATTTGGTTGTTAACTTTTTTAAAATGACAATTTTACCCTCAGGGATCATTTTTACAATTATCTCTTTTTACCAAATTACAAGGACCATTTTTGCAATTCTTCTTTTTAAATTTATTGAATTATTATATATTAATTCTTCTTTCTTTTTAATTTTATTGAACTATTATACATTAATTCTTTTTTTAATTTTATTTTTATTGGATTAATTTTTTATCTGATTATTATATATCAGTTAATTCTATTTTTAATATATAATACTTATATATTAATAAATATTATATTATTATATTATTAATTTCTTTTAACTATTTTTTAAAAAAATTTTATTGGATTATTTTTTTTTTAAAGTTATTAGATTTTTTTATTGGATTATTACATTTAATTTATTATATTCTATATATAATAAATAACATTTTAGTGGATCATTAATTTTTTTTCAATGTATATTATTAATTCTTTTTAATTTATTGGTTCTACCACAAAGTCTTCGGAATACGCAAAAGCACCGCATCCCATTGTCGAAAATCGTCAGGACCACTGCTAATCACCTTCATCGGAGGTCCGACGGAAACACTACCAAACTGTTTCACCCAACGCCGTTATCCAGTAGCCACGTGCGACAACCTCTTCACAATCCGTCATAATCCTTTATATTTGCCACTAAGCCAATCGTTTTCCACTAGAACCATCACTATTTGAACCACCAAGAAGTCCAGCCCAAACACCCATGTCAGTTCCTCCATTTGTTGCATTTTACTAGCTTACGCCACAAAATCATACTACCTGGTCAGTTCCTCCATTCGTTGCCTTCTACAACCCATGCACAACCTTATAACATCAAAGCTTCAAGCCTGCACTACTTGAAAAGACTTAGCGGTGGATCTGGTGGTTTGAAAAACCCAATATCTAACATTGTCGCCATTGACGGCAGTGTGGGTAGTCAATTGGTGTAGTTTTGGTTGAGAATGGCGGATTGTAGGCAACGATCGACGATTTTCGACAAGATGATGTGGCGGCGCAAGGTAGTAGAAAGCAACGAATGGAGGAACTGACCAGGGGTGTTTGGATCGGACCTCCTTAACACAGTATTAATTGTAACAGAAAAACGACCGACTTAGTGGCAACCAATAATGTGTTAAGTCAGACGTTTTATGTTACAACCAATATTGTGTTAACCACCAGGAGGTCCGATCCAAACACCCCTGGTCAGTTCCTCCATTCGTTGCTTTCTACCACCTTGCGCCGCCACATCATGTTGTCGGAAATCGTCCATCGTTGCCTACAATCTGTCATTCTCAACCAAAACTACACCAATTAACTACCCACGCTCCCATCAATGGCGACAATGTTAGATATAGGGTTTTCAAACCACCATATCCACCGCTAGATCTTTTCAGGTAGTGCAGGCTTGAAGCTTCAATGTTATAAGGTTGTGCATGGGTTGTGGAAGGCAACGAATGGAGGAACGACCAGATAGTTGTGGCGTAAGCTGGTAAAAGACAACAAATTGAGGAACTGACAGGGGTGTTTGGGTTGGACTTCTTGGTGGTTCAAATAGTAATGGTTCTAGTGGAAAACGATCAGCTTAGTGGCAAATATAAAGGATTCTGACGGATTGTGAAGAGGTTGTCGCAAGTGGCTATTGTATAGCGGCGTCGGGTGAAACAGGTTGGTAGTGTTTCCGTCGGACCTCCGATGAAGGTGATTAGCGGTGGTCCCGACGAGTTTCGACAATGGGATGCGGTGCTTTTGCGTATTCCGAAGACTTTGTGGTAGAACCAATAAATTAAAAAGAATTAATATTATACATTTAAAAAAATTAATGATCCACTAAAGTATTATTTATTATATATAGCATATAATAAATTAAATGTAATAATCCAATAAAAAAACCTAATAATTTTTTTAAAATAAAATAATCCATTAAAAAATTTTTAAAAAATAGTTAAAATAAATTAATATAATATACATTAAAAATAAAATTAACTAATATATAATAATCAGATAAAAAAACTAATTCAATAAAAATAAAATTAAAAATAGAATTAATGTATAATAGTTCGATAAAATTAAAAAGAAAGAAGAATGAATATATAATAATTTAATAAATTTAGAAAGAAGAATTGCAGAAATGGTCCATGTAATTTGGTAAAAAGAGATAACCGCAAAAATAGTCCCTGAGGGTAAAATTGTCATTTTAAAAAAGTTAACAGTCAAATGTTAAAGTTAACGAAATAGGGACCAAAACCACAGCTAAACCACCAAATAAGGATATTTTTTGCTAATAAACTTTTTTTTGACCTTATCCAAAGAAATTGGCAAACCACAGGGACCCAATTTTGTCGATAAAAGATTAAATATGCTAAGAAGTACGAATGTCCACAACAGGTACTTGTGGATGTGCATTTGTAAAAGACAGTATATGTTTTCTCAGTTTCAGGAATCAAAAAGTAGATAGATTCATCAATTTTTCTAAATATTTTCATCTACTACTATAGAACAACTTAGTAATAATAATAATACGTATTTTACGAAATAAACATCTTTTCTATGGAATGTGTGTTGAACAAATAATTTGACAATATTCTCCCTAACAATTAATATTAATTTGACTAAATGAAATCTTTCAGAGCAATCTCACTTCAAATATTATTCAATAAATTACTATGAATGTGGAGGATGAAGTTCATCTTTTAAATTTTCATTATATGGTTAATAACTTGAATTTTACGAACATTCATAATTTCAATTATTACATTTGTAATGTCATAAGAAATTTTATTTTATTTTTTTTAAAAAAAAAGAACATTCGTACTTAAATAACTATTTTTAAACACATGCATACTGAAATGCTAATTTTAAATGTAAATAAGGAATTTTCAATAAACACTACTGATTTGCCCAATATAGAACTAGTAATTATAACGTATTTGACTAATGTGACGTTGTGAACTGGTAAAATTTTCTATATAAAGTTGCAGTTTAAAGTAGATTTATTTTTAGAATTAAAAGTTAAAAATATGAAAGAAAAGATTGTGGAATGTGGAATATATGTAGAAGATGACAAATCAGCCGCCTTTACATGTTGCACCGCTAGAATATTGTTTTTGAATCAAAAATAATTTTATAGAGATAATCATAAAATTAATCAAATGATTATTAGTAATTATAGGAAATCTTTTTTTTTTTTTTTTTTTTGAAACGGTGGAAATATATTAAAGTCATTGCCAATCAGGCACAAGGCAACGCAAGAAGAAAAAACAATTACATAATGTTAAATGGGGAGCAAATCAAGTATGCCCAATTACAAACACCAAAATCACCTTTATATTTTACCCAACTAAAAACCGAAGTTATTCCTAGCTTTCCAGACAAAAGTTATTCCTAGCTTTCCAGACGCACCATAAGAAATCATATATGATGACCAGAAAAAGATGATGTTTCTTTGGACATCACCCCCAATTCGCTGTGAAAGCCACCAGCTCGCTAACCTTCCAAAAATTTTGAGTTGGAATGTTACACCATTGGAAAATCCAGCTCAGAACTTCATTAGCGAAATGGCAACCCACCATAAAGTGATTCAACTCATCTAGACCAGTAGAACAAAAATAACAATTCAGAGAAGAAATAGGAATTCCCCTGCAAGAAAGCGCAAGTGTCGAAGGGATCCGATCGAGACAGGCACGCCAAATGTGACATCCCCATTTTCACGGCCAGAAAAGACCGATTTTGTTTATGCTTGTTTGAAAATCAGAGTTCTTCTTTTCATAAAAATGTTGCGGAATTTGTTCCCAGAAAAACATGATAAATGCGTTATCAAAGCATTTCCGAAGAAATGTATTTTTTTTATTCATTTTAAAACCTTGGGATGTCATCATCAATACAGGAACATAAGCATAAACAGAACTTACATTTATTTACACTAGTGATCTACATCTCTTTTAAATCTCACAGTGCAAAGTAGCTTCGTATCGACACCTGTGATACAAATAAGCTGGAGTGGGTCAGGTTGGGAACCTGGTGAGTACATAGGGATTTCAATCCCACAATGTTATATCATATATAATTTAGAACACAAAATATACAATTTCCCCATATATATATATATATATATATATATATATATATATATATATGCACACTTATAT